TATAATCGTCTAAAAATGAAAATTGTTAAATTATATTATTAAACTTATCACAAAAATGTAACAAATTTACCTTTTTTCGTGATTCTTAAAAAGTGTTTCTTCCATTTTTTTTTTTTTAAGAATTTAATATAAATGACGAGAAAGAGAATGATAATGCAATTTTCTTCATAATTTTAAGTCAACATCATAAAATCACACGATAATATCGTTATTGTGCTTTGCGTTGATTAATATCAACGCAAAGCACAATAACTTATAATTATTGAACATAAAAAAGTATTGTATGAACGAAATGACCGTTATGGTTAGTAGCAATTTAAGCTCATAAATCCTTTGTACATAGGAACTTCCGATGTAATTGTAGCATGATAATATTTGTGAAGACAGAATATAGTTGGATTAAGATTTAAAATTACGTTGTCATGTGATTTGTGATATATGTTCAAATAAATACTGTTTACGCATCAGATGCTTCTTGTAATACAGAATTATTTCGTTGATGCAGTAACTTTCCACGTGTTCTACGTATACGTCAGCCCTACCCAATCTATTGCTATAATACTGTAGATATTTTCCGTTCTCAGGTCTGAAGCGACGCTTCAGCAGACTTTTCTTTGGTGTTGAACTTTCTTTTCGAGAAACCTCCATTCTAGGACTGAAGTTCTATCCCGTTGCAAGAGGTTGTGATCCTGGTTGAAATCGATCACGTAGCAAAACTACCTTGGTTGAAGTCGATTCATTTGGTATAAGTAAAGAGCTCATATTTTCGCATGAACGTGATCTTTTTGTTATAAACTTTCTCGTCGCCATTCACTTTTTTACTGTGTAATTTAGGAAGTTTTAGGTAGGTGATTAGGAAAGGAATATTCGTTTTGTTTATAATGTTTATCATGAATATTTATATTTTAAAAATCAACTTTTCAACATAGTTTTCTGCTCATGATGTTCATGCTTTGAAATGAATTTTCTTTCAGTAATATCTTATGATTTTAATCTATTATAATAAAATAAAATATCTTCTTTGTTTACAGAAAATTTTATTCATATTCACGTAACTTAAAACGACTTATCGCAGTATCGAAACTTGGCTTATTATAAAGAGTTATTGAGCAAATATGATGATTTTAATTTTTTACTTTGATAATTAATATGCAAGTTTTACCTTACATATTTAATGGCGCAGTATTATCGCAAACTTAAAATTAAAATTAATAAAAAAAAAAAAAAGAGAGAACGAGGAAGGTGAACGAACGGAGGGGGGATAAAAAAAAATTAAAAATTAAAAAGATCGGAAGTGGATAAAAAAAAAAATAAAATAAAGAATAATAATAAAAAATTTTCTATTAATCGAATCTTGAGAAACGATAATCGCGATTAAATCGATTCTCAAATCAATTCTAATAGCCTAGCGGCGACGAAGTCGCCGCACAACAACCTAATCCAGTTTAATTATAGAATTCTATTGAAGAACAAATTGTTTCCATTTTTGAAAAACACCTCCAAAATTAAAATTCAGTCCTATACCAATTACGTTTCCTATTAAAATTTTTACTGTCGATAAATATCATTGTGGAAATGAATACTCAAGGACAGTTTTATTTGCACAAAGGTATTGTAAAAATTGTTTATCCAAGTATATTAGTTGCATATCTGATAATAATATGTATTTTGATTTACTTATAGTTACAAATGATAATTTTACTTATTGTAATAAACATGAAGCTAGGAATGCGGATTTTGCACGCAAGACATTCAAGAATGGTGTGAAATTTGCTCCGATATTTTATTTTCAATCAAATACAAAATAATTATTATACGCATATGGGGGGCGGTCAGTAGAAAAAGGGGAAATCCACCTTTTAGTCAAAATTTTTTTTATTGGTTTACTCTGCTGATCATGGTCGTGTGAACAAAACTAGCTTAATAACTAAAATTACTCAAAATTTGTAGATTTCCCCCTTTTCTATTGACCGCCCCCCATATATTATAATAAAAATAATTGAAAATAATAAGGATTGTAAATTATGTGGGAAGTTAGTTTATCAGGAGGTGCCGGAGAAAATGTTCCATCATTATAAAGTTGACGATCAGATATGTTCAGATGTTATAAAGTTTCTTCTGGATGGGTAGAATCGACTTTAATTCCAATTCTTTATTTACCATGGTGGGATGTTAATGGTACATGTAAAAATTGTGATAAAGGACTGGATTTATTATCTGATTGCCACAAATGGTGCACACGTTTGCCGTGTAATTTATTCTGGATGTAGATATTGTTGTTTAACCACAAATATTATTTTTGGATTGACAGAACAATCTCAATGTAGAAAATGCAAAGAATATCATTTATCGATATTGATACAAATTATTTAAGCAGTGGAAATAGTAATATCGATGAATTACTTAATATCAGAACAATTAGAGATGATAAACAGAATAATCAGATAGCTGATTATATGAAAAATATTGCGAAAAATTCTAATCCATTAAATGTCTATGATTTTATTAAAAAGTTTAAGACTTCACATTATTTCATAATGGAATGGATTCCACCTTCTAAAATTTCAAATTTAGAAAAAATATCATCAGAAGGAGGTTTTGGTATTGTTTCTAAAGCGGAACGGTCTGACGGTATACCGGAATATAAAAATCGTAAATCTTCTAAAGAATCTCGATATAATAAAACTGTTGCCATAAAAAGGCTTCGAAATTCAAAAGGTATTAGTAAAATATTTTTAAATGAGGTAATTATTGTAATTATTTAGTCGTTCATATTTGTCTGAGATGCCAATATTGATGCAAATTTAAACAAATTTTATAATTTTATTTTATAAAAAATTAGTTAATTTTTGTTCTTCTGATCATAAAGTTAGACGTATTATCAAATATTACGGTATAACAATGGATCCAAAAACAAATGATTATATGTTCGTGATGAAATATGCAACAGAAGGAGATTTAAATAAATATTTACAAACTAATTTTACAATGATGACATGGAATAAAATGAAATTGAGATATTTATGGCAAATTTTAAAGGTATATACATAATTTCTCATAAATTTAAATTATTTTATTATGGTTGTAAATATGTACTAATCTATATTTTTCAATTAGGATTGAAACTATTCATAACAAGGATCTAATACATAAAGATATTCATAGTGGAAATATATTATTTTTTGAAAAAAAAAATGAATTCAATTATCAATGGAAAATTGGAGATTTGGGACTAACTATCACAACCTGCGAATAATACATCATCAAATAATGAAATATATGAAAGAGCGTCTGATGTTTATAGTATAGGCATGATTATGTGGGAATTTTCAACTGGCTGTAAACCTTTTGCTAACATTGACATCTTATTATTGAAATTAAACGACCCGAAATTTCAGACTTGATACTTCATCATCTTTGTTTTCTGAATTCGTTACCTTCTAAAATTCGAAACAAGTCAATATCACCTCTTCATAAACTCTATTTTCAATTTCATCTGGTGGAATACGGAGTGTTTCGTTAATTTCAAGGAATTTACCAATTGAGCATTATTTCGTTCATCATAGTTGACCAATTATGTAACAAAGAATTGTAAATTAGCCGGAGTTTATGAATCTAAATTTAATTAATTATAATTAAAAGGAAATTCGGGCTGACACTTTGAACCGAACACAGCCCGGACAATTTGAATTTATAATTTGCCAGTCCGGCGTATTTTTGCCGTTCAGATCATTTCAGGCGAAGTAGAAGGAAAAGTGACCTTATTTAGAAAAAAAAGTAGATTTTGCCACATGCGATGAATCTCTATGCAATAGAATTATCACTATGTTGGAAAACAACTTTCTAAATTTAAAATTTTGGCGTAAGGTTAAGGGGCACAAGGTAACATTTCCTATAAAAAATAAATTTGCATTAAATTAGAATACTAATTATATTGTAGGTTATAAGCTGTATTTATGACAGAATAAAGTGAGTTAGGAAAATGATCTTATAAATAAAAGAATACCCGAACGCTTGTACAACTTTTTTTTTTTGACTAACCAGCAAATTCAAATTTAGTTGCTAATTATGAATTAGATATTCGTAGCTTACGAGTATACATATGGGAGGTAATCACGTTACGGATCATATGATTTACCGATGTCCGACATTATCCCGAAGGCCATTTTCCCGAATGGACGTTTTCAAAAACTTCGGGCAGGGTTATCATAATGTAGGTCAAACTTTTCGGGAAAACGTTTCATTCGGGAAACAGCCTTCGGGAAAACGTACTGTAACCATGATTTACTAACAAACCTCCCATATGGATCAATTTATATGCTTCATATAATAAAATAAATATTTCTCTTATAAAACAGGTATTCTAAACATCATGTATTTATGAAAATGATAACACATTTAAGAGATTCCTAAAAAATTGAAAAAGCATTTCTTACCATCACTACTCCATTTGTTTATAGTTACACCTGATACCACATTTATTTGCGAAAAATGAACCTTATTAGAAAAAAATTTTATTCGATTAGAGAAATTTTATCCATCATCCCCGATGATTTTTTAAAATACCATTCCTTTTTTGGCGCAATATGTAAATCACGTGTTTATGTAAATTTTATTGATTGGATTATAAAATATTGCAAAAAATTATATACACGATGTAATTCATGATACATAATCAATAAAGAATGCTTCAAAACAATAACATAAGAAATAAATTATACATTTTCTTTGTTCGGACAATGTAAATCATTATGCTCAGACTCTTTACAAGTTTTACATGGCGCACTGCAGCTTCGTGAATTATGTCCATCTTTATCCATCACCAGAACGACTAGTAGATTTACTTGTAGAGTCCTTTGATCCTTTTTCCCCAAATGATTTCAATCTTTTATTAGGTCTTCCTTTTGTATTAACTTGTAATGGATTAAGAATTATTTCTTCGTCTTGATTGTTAATTGAATTATTAGTATTAGATAACTCCACTTCTTGAATTAAACCTCGTAATGTAGCTGCAATATGTGTTACATGAAATTCAGATGCCAAGGATGCTAACTTTCGTCCTAATGCTGCATATTCCCCATAAATTTGCCATATTCTGATCACCTGTTCAACTTCGGAGTTGTAGCTTAAATAATTATTATTGTTATGATTATGAATTCCATTCATGAAAGTACTGTAGTTGAACTTTCATTTCCAATATGACTAAAGGAATCATCTAAAGCGTCAATTTTATTTAGATCAACATCCTTTTTATACCAACGACTCTTTAACAAATTAAAGGTAAATTTTGCATTTTGTGTTTGTAACATCACTTGGAAAAATGATGACAAACTAGTGTTTCGGGCGAAACTAGTTTTGCCAATTTGATCTGCGAAAATCTTTCCAAATTTAGGGTTTCGGAGGTTTCGGATAGTTTCGGATCATAGAAAAATTCTCTGGGCGAAACGTTTCGGATGTTGAAAAATAGTTTCTCCTGAAACACTATGACAAACCAAACCTTCACTAAATAAAAGTAAACATGTGCAAATATGAGAATAATCTTGAAATAATGCCACATAATTATCTGAAGTTGTATTAGCTGCCATTTGTTGAACTTCCCAAATTTAGTAAGATCAATTCTATTAATAAAAGATTTAAGAGCAATTTGACATTTATCTGTACAATCTTCAAAGCAAGCAAAAGAATCATAATCATTAATCTTATTTTTTTTAAAAAAAAAAAATAATTAATATTATTAGTACTAAAAACTAATAACAATCATTAGTTAAATAATAATATACTGTATAAACTTATATTATCATAAGCATGATATTTGATTAGAAGGAATTAATCTTACATGATATTCAAAACAAATATCAATTTGTGCCTTTTGAATAGAAATATCTCACTAGTTAATGCTTCTCAAATTTTCAACCAATTTAGAAAAACACGAACAGCAGATAAAGAAGTAATACTAAATGGTAAATTGGCTAAATCATCCTGATATTCTGCTTTTTGAATTTCAGAAAATAACATTTTTTGTATTTTATCAAAGCATTCTAATAAATTTAATGAGAATTTACATATTTATGAATAATAGCATTAATGGATTCTACACGTTGAGTAGAAGATATTTCAGTATTAAATTCCTAAATAAGTAAAATCAAATATTAATACTTTAGATGATTAAATAATTCAATTAATTTTATTCTAATCTTTAACCACTAATCCTAACCTCTAATTCTAACATCAAATTTTAATTCTAATCTTTAATCCTAATTCCAACCTCTACTCTTTAATTCTAACCTCTAACCCTAACCTCTAATTCTAATCCTAATCCCTAACCCTAATTTTAATCTTTACTCTCTAACCTTAACCTTTAATTCTATTGGCTATAAGAAAAATATATAAACATATTTTGACCTTAGTATCATATCATAGATACGAAGTGAAAGCAAATTATGAAAATCATTAGCATAATTTTGTCAAATAGATAATATCGATGAATGGTTCATTATACCAGATCCAATTGAGTATCATTGAAATACTTTAGAATGGAAATACTGCAATTCAAATATTCACAAAAATGATTTATAAAGCAAAGTAATATAAGATAGTCTGAATTATTACATTTGTCATATTTTAATCCTATAAAATATATCATAATCGATCTAATGCATTATCTATTTTTAGGCATTGCACAATAGATAGTAAAATAAATCTGGATCAATAAAGGGATTTTAGCATTAAATTTCTTAAATAAGATTCAGAAAAAGATGAATAAGTTTCAGATTCCTTCTGATTTAGATCAAATTTCAGGTAAAATTTATAAAAAAAAGGATTTTTTAATTTTATGACTGATCAATAATAAATATTTTCACTGTATATGCCACTATTTCACTTTGAAAATATCTTCCAATTGTAGATAAAAAGATTTTATAAGAATTTGTATAATTTTAGTAAGTCAAATTATAGAATTAGATCTATTTTATAAAGTATATTAAAGACTAATTAAGATGGTAAAATTGATTGAATATAATCATGAATGTAATAAAATTATACAAAATCTTTACCTTTTTCTCTACGATTGTATAATAGAATATAATCTATTATATGAATTTTAGTATTTTTCTTTTGAACGCATAAATGAAATATTAGGTATTTTTTTTTGAGAATTTCTTAAATAAATTGGCTTACTAATTTATGAATGATTTTATATTCTTTACTGAATAGTAATAGAAAAATTAAACCTAAGCTAATACATTAATTATGTTTGATATTTAAATTAATAATATTATAATTCTAGTAGTATTAGGATAAAAAGGCTTAAATTGTTAGACAATTAGCCTTTAATTAGTTTCCTTTCAGATACAGACAAATTTTCTTTTAATGAAATTCACTAATTTTAGATAAATTTACGAAATATTAAGAATCAAATGTTATTGGTAGTGAATCATTTTCTGGCAAATTTCTTAAACTATTATTCGATAATATAATTATTTCAAGCGAAATACTTGATTTGATAGTTAAATAATACAATGTGACTTATATTACATTTAATCTTAAAAAGCTATTTAATAAGGATTTAAAAAATGGTATAATAATACTAGTTAAAATAAATTAATTCAGAAAGTGCTAAATTAGTTCTGAAATCTTTGGATCATCAATATCTTTATGACATATAAAAAATCATATATTTTAGTCAAATTTATTACAAATGATAATACAGTCGATTGTTAGCCTAGGCAATAAAATTTTTTAGATTTTTATAATCTGATCATTTTAATTTTTATAAAGCTCATAATTTTTTTATAGTAAAATTTTTTATCACATGACTTTATATAATGAAAATTATAATAGCATATATTTTATTATAAAAAATTTAATGTATTATTTTCATAATTTTTTTGTTATTTGGAACTTAATATTCTTAGCATATTTTTTATCAGAAACTTTTATATAACATTTACTATAATAATAGTAATATTTTTTATTTACTTTACTATTTACATAATATAAAATATAATATAATACATATAAATAAAAATTTATATATAAAAAAAATCAGGTGACTGTATCAATTTTAAAATTTTATGTCATGAAAATCTAAAAATTTATTTTGCTCAACCTTACCCTTGCCAAGTCTATATTATTTTATTCATAAGATCGATTTGTCATCTAAACAAGCTAAATATTTTCTAGCATATATTCATTAGTATAAATCTACAAGTTTTTTAAATATGTAATATTATTTTAGTGAAAAAGAAACTTATAATATCAAATTATGGGATTCTCAAATTTTATCTATAAAGTTATAATTATATAATACTAGTTCATCATATTTTAAGTCAATTTGTACTGATTAACTATCAAATTTCAGCCTGACAAAATGTAAAATAATATTTAACTGTTAATCCAATTAATAAAAATATCATTTATGAAAATAAATTGAATGTTTTTAGCATTATTTGATTATTAATCCTAAATATCGATTATATTTCCTTCTGAATTTTATTTTATTTTGAAATATTTTATCCAATTTTTGATATATACCAATCAGATGTAAATTGGACATCAATCAGCTATAAATAAGATAGATTAAATTTAACTGATTTTAATGTATACTAATCAGCAATAAGTATGCCAATTGGCTATAAATAAGATAGATTGAATTTTGGCTGATCTTTAGCTGATTTTTAATGTATGCAAATTGAATATAAATCAGACATCAATCAGCTATAAATAAAATAGGTTGAATTTTAGTTAATTTTAATGTATACCAATCAGATATAAATTGGCTATAAATAAGATAGGTCAAATTTTGGCTAATTCTTGGCTGATTTTTGATGTATACTAATCGGCTAGGCTAATTTTTGATAATTTGCTGATTTTAGACCAATTTTCACATGTCTAATTTTTTTGATTTTGACCAATGCTATTTTTGTTTAAAAAAAATTAGAAGTACTTATCTTTTGTAAATATGTAGAGTGAAATAAGGGATTCTTTACTTTTTTGTTTAAAAAAAATTAGAAGCACTTATTTTATTAGATATGTAAACTATTGTTAACCTTACGCTCAGTCTGTTAAACTTAGGATAATGATAACTTAATAATAGGGAATAACGTATGAGAAACTACTAAGTTATTATAGAATAAGTTCTATCATAATCAACCTTAAGTTTATAATCTAAATAAGTAAAATTACTTTAACAATTTGTAATAATAATAATAAATACGATTGATACATTAAAGGATTTTAATATGTGTAGTTTTAGAAAGAGATTTTTTTATTGTAGAGATTTGTATCCTTAGCAATTTTTAATCTTAGATTCTAAGTCTTAAACTTGAACTATTGAGTTATCACTATTATCTCTACCCTTTTGTAAGAATAAATTTCTATTCTATTTATACAAAATATAATTATAAGAAATTACTATCTAATGTTAAACTATTTTATAACATTAAAATAAATATAAAAGATAAATTATAATTTAACTATAATAATTATATAATAAATAATAATAATAAAATATAAGAATAAAATAAATAAAATAAAAATGTTAAGTAAGTTAAGAATGCTAATAAAGTTAATAATGTTGATCATTCATAAATCTTTGTAACGCAGTAATATTGATTTCACATAGTATCAATGTTTTATTAAAAAATCAACAATTTTTTTAGTTTACAAGCAAATTTACTTGCTAGATAATTTAAGAAAAAATACTTTTAGACTTTTTATTTAAATATCTATTTATAATTAAAGCTAATAAATTTTAAATTTTAAAAGAATCTAAACTTTCTTTAACTTTTTAAATAATAATATCGATTATTTTTAATTTTTATATTAATTATTTTTAAAATCTAATTTAGATTTTTTGACTAATTTACACAAAAATAAAAGAATTTTAATAGTCTAATTGCTAGTTTTATTAATATTATTAGTTGAAGAATTGATTACTTTAATTAAATCATTTATGTTATTTACCTACATAAATTATTATTCTTTTTTACTTAAACTATGTTTTTTAAAATAATAATAGACTAGTAAAATTGTTGTATCAGTATTTTTTCTAACATTCTCTTTTTCTGAAATCAAATAATTTACCTAATATAAAAATTAATATAAAATTAAAAAAAATTATACTATACTTAAAAATAATAAATTACTTACTAGTCTTAAAGATCTATCTTCGTAAATACAAAAACTTATATTTTATAAAGTTTAAATTAAAGATTTTATCATTATATAATGATTTATATTATAAATATAAAGTCATACAGTTTAATTTACAAATGTGATTTATATCAGAAATAGAGAAAAAATTAAAGGATAAAATTGATATACTTTTTGAGTATAATTAGAATAAGAAAATTTTAGATAGATTTTTTTAGAATTTTTATTATTTTATTATATTTATTAATTTGCTAATTTTTTTTATTTTTATATAGAAATAGTGTAATAAATTCTAAAATAACATTAAAATATTTTATAACTAGATATATCTAATTCTTAAGATTTTGAAAGCTATATATTTTGGAATTTTATAAAAGTAGTTCAGATTCCATAATCATTATAACAGAAGATAAAATTAAATTAAATTTATATATTTAAAATATATTTTTATTATATACAATAAAATTTTCAATACTTATAGTTAAATCTTAATTATTATCATTTTTTATTATATTATTATATACAATAATTGCTAAAATAATATATAATTTTTACTTGCTAGTAAATATATAATTGTTATAGTCTCTTTTCAAAAATGATAACCTATTTAAAAATAAAAATTTTGATAAAAAATATTTGATAATAAAGTTATTAGAGATATTAAAATCCAGTCTGATCCTAATCTAGTTTCAAAACTCTCAGTTCTAAAGAAGATACAGTCTATAAAACTTGAGTTTTAGAACTAGACTCTAGGATCAGATCTTAAGACTGCAGTCCTAGAACTGTAGTCCTATAGAAATTAGGATTTATAATCCTAAAACTGTGATTCTATGAAATTAGAACTTGTGATTCTAGACTGCAATCCTATAAAAATTAGGACTTGTGGTCCTTAGACTGCAATCTTATGGAAAAATAATCATTTAAGAAAAATAATAAGTTATCATTCAACTTGAATAATAAAAGAAATAATCGTTTAAGAAGAATAATAACAAATCGTTTAACTTGAATGATAAAAAATAATCATTTAAGAAGAATGATGATGAATTATTTAACTTGAACGATAAAAAATTATTCAAAAAGAATGATAAGAAATCATTTGATTTAAATGATTATTTATTTATAGGATTGCAATCTTAGAACTACAAGTCCTAATTTTTATAAGATCACAATCCTATAGTTTAAAGAACTTTGAACTGGATTGGGCTTTATAGGACTATTTAAGATCTAGTTTCATAGGACTTTTTAATATCCTTAAAAGTTATTAAAAAATTTACCTGATAATAAAAATCTATAAATATTTGTATAGTTAATTAGTTAATTTTAAATATTAAAATTTGTAAAATAATTTTAAAAGATATAATAATATTATTTTTTTGATATATTAAACTATATATAATTAAAATAATATCATTATATTAAAATATTTACATATTGATTTTAAAGATAACATTGCAAATAGTTGCAACTATATGATGCTTATTTGTCATCGATTGCAACTAGTTATAACTCAATTTTTATTAATGTTATAACTAGTTACAATCCTATAATGCTTATTTGTCACCAGTTGCAACCAGTTGCAGCACTATTTTTAATTGATTTCATTTTTTTTACTAATATCATAAATTATTAAAAAAAGCTTTCATACATATATTACATCTAAACATGATATGCAAAAATGATCTGTAAGATTAAGAAGAAGATTTATTCATATAATATTAAAATTATTTGCAGCATTTTAGTTAAATTAGGTAGACAAATAATTTGTATTTCTTATTTTCTAATTTTGGTAGTTTAATTTTATTATGTAAATAGATCTTATTATGTAATTCATTATTAATGTCATTTAATTTATTTTATTCATTTATTTTATTTAAATTATTTTATTTATTTATATTATTTTATATATTTTATTTATTTTTATTATTTTATTTAATTTATTGTATTTTTAAATTAATAGAAGTAGTTCGTCAATGTAAAAGAAAAAAGAAGAACTTGTCTTATAATAATTTTTTTGATAAAAAAAATTATTTAATATAGATATGCTAACAGAGGTAGTATTAATCTTTTATTATTAAATAATTAATTGTATATATTTCACCTAATTTGTTTTATTTTCTTTTCTTTTATCTCGTATCTTTATTTTACTTATTTGTGTAAAGGAAACCTTCTGCTAAACTTTGATATTACAGGTATTTATCTATAATTTAAAAGAACTAATATAATAATATTTTGATTCTTTCAAAATAATAATCACTAATTAAAAATATATTATTCTTTTTTGCTATTTTATTTATTCATACATTTTAATTAAGTATTTTTAATAAAACATATTCTAGTTTTTATTTAATTCTTAAAACAATTAAAATTTATTTCACTAACTTATGATTAACAATATTGTTATTTAAGCATTTTTTTTAAATATTAAGTAGTTTTAAGTTTTTTTTAAAATGTTTCAATATCTTATTCTATTAATTTTTCATTAAACTACTTTTGAGTTTTGGTTATTTTATTTTTATTATCATGTAATAGATTTTATTTCAAATGTTTATAAAATTCTTTAATTTGATTTTTAGTGAATAATTAAGTTGCATTATTATCTATATCTTTATTTTTTTATTTCATCAGTATTATTATTATCATAATCAATATCAAATTTATATTCTTCTTATAATTGTTCTAAGGTATTATTTAGTTTATAGAGTTTTGCATAAGTATCAATAAACAAATTTTGAGCCTTTTTAAAAAATTTTTTTTATATATTATAAAAAGAAAAGAAAATTTGAATTTTAACTTGTTAAAATGATAAAAGATAAAAATTTAAAAAGAAATTTCTTTCTATTTATATATATTAATTAAAAAAAAAAAGATGTTTAAATGCTGATCTAATTAAACCATATAATAATTATAAAGTTTGATTAACTAAAACAAAAAATATAGTTTGATTACTTCTATCAGATATATCTAGAATAATGAAAACAATAATAAATAAATTTGTTAAAAATTTAAATTATTGCTTTTATAAAAAAAAAAACTTATTTTATACGTCAAGTTAAAGGGTTAAAGGGGGAAATCTAACGGCTAAATTATTTATATGCAATTTCATGATTATCAAATTACTAAATTAAGTAAAAATGAAGCATATGAACCCAAAAACTCAAAATTGATTGGAAGGTAGATTTCCCCCTTTTTAAATGATGCACGCTCAATAATTTACCTCTTGACGCTTTACAATTAATCTTAAGACAACAATTCGAATTTTCACACAACTCAAAGAGATCTAACTTTTCTAGATAACATCAAAAGGTATATTATCAAAAGTTTGTATTAGATATAACGAAAGAGATAAATTATGTACAATGAGTTGTGTTTTAAGAAAGGAGATTATTTTGAGGAGGTTTCGGCAGGCATCTATATCTTGATGAGATGGAATAATTTTGAGCTTTTTGCAAAATTTATTTATGACGAGAAACCTGACGCGTCGCCACAAGACATATTAGATACATACAATCTAAACCTTATCGATATCGCTACAATCAAAAACATCGAATTTGATGTCATTCACCATGTTCAAGAACATATTAATGTATGGTTTCCTGTCTATTAATATGCTTGGCAATAATTTCTTCCGTCAATATCTAACTGACTCAGTGATGGCAAGTGACCTGAAATGACCCAAATGACTTTGATGACTGGTCACTAGTCATTAGGTCACTTTAAAAACT